ATCATGATTACTGTTTATTGCATACATAAATAGTCTTATTATCATCAGACTGCAGCCTCTTAAAGAGCCCTGGTGGTGCAGTTGTTAAGAGCCCAACTGCTAACCAAAAGGTCTACAGTTCGAATCCACCAGCCGCTCCTTGGAAACTCCATGGGGCAGTTCTACTCTGTCCTGTAGGGTCACTATGAGGCAGAATCAACTTGATGGCAATGGGTTTGGTTTTTGGTTTTTGCAGCCTCTTAACAGAGGTGCTGGGGGTACTTGTGCAGGCCAGTCTTTGCAGAGATTTTGTTCCACTTGGCCGGTTTGTATTCTTATTTTTGGGAGATGTACATAATTTCTCCCTTGAAACTTTTCCCCTTGATCGTCTTTCTCTGAGCCAATAATGAAAGTTGTTCTTGTCTAGCTGATTAGAGCAACTCAGCATAATATTAAAAACACTGATGTCCACATAATTGTCTTCTCACCAAAATAAAAGTCAATCCTAACTCTTCACACGAATAAACCTACATTTCTGATGCCTTCTTGTTGATTCTCAATTTTAGTCCCCACTTTAGACAGTCCTAACCCTCTGGAGCAGTAGGGGAGCATAGTAAGGGCAGGCAGATAAATCCTAACAGCAGGTATCTGACATTCTTTTCAGCAGCAGTGCCTGAAAATTACAGTCGGTGAGACAACATGGATATGCAACATCATTTATGACTTACACTATCTTTATTACAGTCAGTGAGAGCTAGTAGTATAACCAGAAGTGCTCTTGAGCATCAAGACATAAATTACTGTATTTCATCAATTCTAAGATGTTTTCTTACATTTCAACATTTCTGAAACAGGGCTTCATCTTACAACTGATAGCATGTCGCCATCACTGTTGTTCAGTGGCAATCACAGTACTCATTACCTAAACATGTGTGAACTCGGTTGTTGTTCCTAATGGCATGACTGGTCAACTGCATTTCCTTGACATTTTCATTAACCCTTTAATGAAGGAACAACTTGGTTGTTGTCTGAAAACCTTCTGTTGAAAACCTTGTGGTAAACTCAAGAAAGTGCCAGCATCATAATTTCCAGAATGGTGATTGTGGCTTAGAAGAAAATACTACAGACAATAGGGAACACTCTTTTAAGAAGCACTGCATCACCAACGCGCCCTTGCTTGTAGTATAAATCCCTCCCAAACTTCTCCCTAGACCTTCTTCTAAAGTGGAGCTGACTAGACCACAGATGCCGCACCTCTAATTACTGTTTTCCTCATTTGTGTGTGCCTTTTCTCATTATAATGTCATTACTGTAAGACATGGGGGTCCTATAGCCAGAGCGATCCAGAGTGCAATATGGTATTGC